CATTTGGGGTGGGGTCTCAGCAGAGCAGGGCAAAGGGAAGAATCCCCTCTCCTGCCCTGCTGGCCCCCCTCCTCTGGATGCAGCCGGGACAGGGTTGGCTTCAGGGCTGCACGAGCGCCCCGACGGCTGTTATTAACGCTGCGGGGGGGGCAGCAGGCAGTTTAACCACTGAAGGAGGAGGAGGGCGAATTAGGTTTGTCAGAGAGACACGTTGGTGAAAGGTTTTTGACCTGAAGGAAATGGTGTTTTGGTGGGGCTTGATCCCCAGCGTGGTCCAGGCCACAGCAGATTTCCTGGTTTTGTGGCAACATCCTACGTGGGCTTCAGGGACGTGCAGTTCAGCTCAACCTCTCATTTTAGAAAGAGACATTTCATTTTGTTCTTAGTGGAAATGCTTCACCTGATGAAGGAGACATCACAGAATTATTTTGTTGTTTAATTACACCGGTAAAAACTGTGCACTTTATTGCTAAAGTTAATTTTCTGGATTCAACCTGACCTTTTTTAATTATTTAATACCGTCTGCTGTCAGCAGTGCTCTTATCGTGTGTCGCTTATAGACTGTGATCAAATTGTGTATTAACTTTCTGTCGGATAAAACGAAATTATTGCCCTTTTTATCTTCTCATCTATGTGTAACAGGAGGCTTTCCAAGTTGTTATTGAAGCTCTTTTGTGAATCCTTCCCAGTTATTTTTTATATTATTATTCATCTGAGGTGGCAGCTGTTTGGCATTGTGACGGACAGGATCTGATTAAATTTGAATTACTTGGTGTTCAGTCCTTCTGCCGTGAAGGCTGGACAGTTCCAAACTCTAGGAAAACTCCCTGTTACGGGAAGGGCCCAAGGGATCCAGGGGATGCTTGTCTGTTTTCAAACCACGATGAGAGCCTACCTTCGAGGCAATCTCTGCAAGGGAAGCTAAAACTCTCCAGGTCACAAGTGTCATTTAACAATCATGGAAATAGGAAAATGAGAAACAGTCGGGGACTATCTCAGAGAAAAGAAAGTAGAGGGAAGGCAACTTTGAAATAAAATACGTGAGACTTAAGAGACAATTCCTGGGGAAATATTTCATGAATTTTTCAGACTTCAGTCAGGCTGACTTGTCTGTCGGTACGTGGTGAGCAAAGGTGCCATCTGGTCTGGAGGTCACTGGCAAAGGAGGGGTGAAGCCTTGTTTTGTGAGGAGGCTGCAGGGAAGTTGGCTTTCATGGGGTGGTAAGAGGTTTGGGAAGAAAATCGTGGAAGGAACGCAAAAGAAGATATAAACGAGCCAACTTCAGCACCTAACGTGGCCAGCTTGTCTTCTCCAAGGGTCTCTAATATTAGGAGGATCAGCCCTCCGGCAGACAGCTCCTGGCACCCGAGTCAGTCTTACTGCCTCGTACCCTGGAGGAGTTTCTCTCTCCCCTTCCCTGCTGACAGAGGGGGAGTCCAAGTGCCTGCAGCCAGCTCAGGTGCCCACTTCAGGGCGGTGGTGAAAACGGGGATTTCGAGGCTCCAGGGAAGGCTCAGTGGCCCTTCAGGTGACCCTTTGGTTGCGAAGGGACTGACTTGGCTTTGCTCTCCCTCTTTGCTCCAGGAGCTAATGAAGTCCTGCTTGTGATCAGCGGCTTTGGCAGCCAGCAGTCACCCATTGATGTCGTGGAGAAATACGACCCGAAGACTCAGGAGTGGAGTTTCTTGCCAGTAAGGGCCCGTTCCTGACCACCACTGTGAGCAAACACTGATCCTGTCGGATCAGATAGAAAATGTTCCTCTGCGGGCTATCCTTTGCGTTCTGCTTAGAATTTCGGACCGAAATTCTTTGGGGTTGCTGAGGTTTGTAGTGAATGCTGAAACCGCTTTGCATTTCCAGCTTTGC